ACCGCCTCGTGATGGCTGGTAGGGGTGATGATACGAGCATGCACTCCTACCAGCTTCACTGAGGGCTCCAATCTATTGGTGGGGAGCAGCACCTGCTGGAAAGCGGGTCCAGCGTCCCTTGACAAGTGATGATGAATAATTAAAACAGATAGAGCTGGGAAATGGGCCCAACGTCCCTTGTACCTCTTCACCCTCATCTGAGTGGCGCCTGATTTCTCAACTTAGCCCTGGTACTAATTGGAATAAAGGATTTGTCATAACCACCTGCGGAACACTTAGTAAACATTTTAACCATATTCAACAGAGCAAAACCTCTCCACTCAAAAATCTCCTTTTCAATCATAGCCATACCAACTCAAGGGAACCAGAGGTAAAGAGGAGGGGGGAAATGGGTCTGGGAACTCTGAGGAGGGACGCAGAGGGACTGATGGGTCTACACTGGTCCAGTCATGAAATATCAGACGGAAGTCTCTAGATACTTCCTCAGCTTGCCTTTCCTTGCTGCCTCTCCTTACCCCACCTTCTCGTATCTGACCAATCTTCCCTCCTTGAGSCCCCCCTAGCCAAGCGCCACTGAACTGTTTRATGTGTTGTAATATTTCTTTTTTAGACGATAAGAAATGAATTTTTTCTTTAATCTTGTTCCATTGGATTGTGATGTCAGTCTGCACTTGTAGTTTAATTGCTTCTGTTATCTCAGGGCCATCAATCCTCGCTCCTTCCATTTCAAAAGTACAGCGACGATTCCAGAGGGCCCAGAGAATGGCCCTCCTTCCTACTTGAAAAAGGTTGTGAGAGAAATCATCTAACTGGGCCGGAGACCATGTCTCACATAATAGAGCTCTCCAGTCCCATGGCCATGCTATTTGAGTATTGAGGGCAGTCCAAATCCTATCCCACCAACGCCATAGCAGAACAGCACCTGGGCATTGCATGAAAATGTGCTCTATGGTCTCCGGAATGTTCCTACTTGGGAACACTGCGGTACACAGCTTATACCAAGGATGAGCAAGACCTCTTTTTTCTAATGATGTTCTGTCCATAAGCCAATCATTCGTGGGAAGGCAGCGATGGTCAATTTGCCATTGTAGAGAGGCAATCTTTGTCGGCCTGATCCTGATAGTTTTGAACCACTTGATGCWCCTAATGTYCTCCTTACTYACATTCAGGTGCTTCATCCATMTGTTTTCCACCCGATCTCTCAAGTTCACTCTCGGTCTTAACATTCTATAGGTAGATTTGACCGTTAGTGAGTGTAGGGCACGCACACACTTTCTGCTGCTCCTCAATGGGACCGTCCATGTCCAATAGATTGGGTCAAAGGCCAGTTTATTGATTGGACATGAGGGTTTGAAGGCAATCAAGTGGTCCTTTTGTTTCAGAACTCTGATCCTGAATACTTGGTCCATTTCAATCCATCTGGTTTCATTGGTAAGATTTTCTTTTATCTGATGGCTCTGATTGATTGGGAAGATAGAGATAAAAACTAAACCTCTTCCATTTACCAAGATTACATTCCCTATTTGTTGGGAGTTCCCTTGGATACCCACCCAGTCGCTTTCCTTGAGTTGGGGGCCTTTCCTGAGAATCCTAAGCCATGCTATCGGGATGGCTTCAGTAATTGTATCCAATGCACTTTCTGTTCCTCTGCAATACCTTAGCCTCGGCCCGAGGCAGGAGAGCTGATGCCAGTCCTTCGTATCTGTACACCAGATGTTCCCTATCCTCAGAATCCCATTTTTTGCCCAACCTTTCCAAGGGGAATCTGTGCAGTGAAACATCCTTCCTTGTGTATCAGTGATCCACCTGTTATTGAATAGGGGCTGCTGACAGACTTCCTCCCATCTCTTTGGGGCAATTTTGTCAGGAAGAGGCAGTTTGCGCCAAGTTTTGAGAAGGTCTGTCCAAAAAGGATCATTTTTTATATCCATCCTTGTGGCTTGTCGACTGGAGTTCGCTGGATGATCAGAGAGTTGTGTTCTTCCCCTTGGTA